TTCGCATGCGATTGGCAATTGAATGTTTTTTTTTGTTGCTGTTTACATTTTTTTCCACTCAGGAACTATAGAGCAATTATATAAGATCCGACAATTGGCTAAAGAAACGAAAATAAAATTGTGGCACCCGCTGTGTGGCAGCAGCTAACTGTGGCAGCTGTTGCTGTTGCCACGCCGATTGCGTACTTTGAGCCTGGCCAAAATTTCCCACCTTTTTGGCCAAACACAGTCAAAAAATATGATTGCTATATAACGCAGTTCTCACGCTTGGCCCTGTTAAATATTCAAAATTGAATTACACCAAAAAGAAAACCCCGCGTAGCCCCCTCCCCTACCAAAACTTCGCTTTGGTTTGCTAAGCAATTTATGCAATCGGCTTTTGGGTTTGGTCTTTGCTCTGTCTCCCCCTCGCTCTTAACTCTTTTTGGACTTACCTAAGTCAAACCTTTTTTGTGTGCAAATATCGGCAAAAAAATTGTCGAAAAATATCTTATGCATGTTTTTTTTTTTTGGACAGTTTTTTCTTCTTTTTTTGTTTGTCATGCCAATTAAGCTTGTGAAATATATACATTTTAGCTGATTTTTAAGTTTCTTATGTGGCACAGCGCAATTGTAAAAAACAAAACCTAAAACTCATCTATTCGAATCAGCATTTATTGTGACTCTTAACTCATGTGCAAAGTGTTTAATTGTCTTTTTACATTTGTTTTTGTGTTTCTTTTGGCGACTCATTTTTGAGAACGATGATGAAGGGGCTTACAACACATCGGATTGGACAGATTTGTCAATTGGCTGCACAGCAAGTTACAATAGCTACGCCATATGAAGCACGTAGTTTGAAATAATAGAAAAGTCACAAAAAAAATATCATATATTATTGATTTTTTAATATATTTTATATTAAATTGATTTTTTATTTTTAAAAATTTGAAGATTTTTTTATGTTTACTGTTATTTTTATATTTACTAATTTTTTTATAAATTTATTTTTATATTTAAAAATCTTTTAATATTTTTTGATTTCTTTTATTTTACATTATATTTTATATTTATTTTCATATTTTATAATTTCTATTATATTAGATTGATTTTTTTGCGTTCTATTATGTTTTTATTCATATTTGTGTTCTATATATTTACTATATTATTTCTTTTTTACCTTGAATGCCCCTTTAATCGATAAATATCGATTGTGATAATTATTCCCATTTTTTACCTATTCTAATTGTATTGTAATTTCTGAACTACAAACCTAAAACGCTTAACTAAGCATATAAAAATACCTTGTTGTGGGCCCTGGCTATAAAGCACACTTCATACGCTGTGCGCTTCGTTTATTTGAAATGCTTATTTATGGCTTTCACGCCCAAAGCTCAAAGCATTCAATTAATTTGTCACTTAATTTGATTGTGTTACAAATTAAAAATAAATAAAAGAAGAAGCATTCGAAACACGCCAACTTTGTTTGGTTGGTTAAATGAGTGTGCGTATGTGTATGTGTGTGTGAGTGAGTGAGTGTGGCACGCCTGTTAACTTTATCTCGTTTTCACTATGTTTTATAGCCCCAAATACAAACACACAGACAAGTTCATTGATTTCGTTTGTAGCTTCTCTCTGCGCACACTTTTCACGCTTTCATTCGATTAATTGATGAATGAATTTTGTGTCAAAACATTTTTAACGTCTCCATTGGCGTCCAACTCCGCCCGCTGTTCGCCCTGGCTGACCTCCAAGAAAAACATTTGCAAAAAAAACAAAACGAGGGAGAAGCACGAGTTAATGACCGCCTAATGAAAGAAACCTTCAACACGCACCTTGTGCGGCATTTCCATTTTCATTTCCATTTTTCATTCACTTTTACTTTTTCTTTTTTTTTTTTGTACGCCATGCGTAACCAGCCCAAAAGTAAAATCGCAATCGTTATATCGTTATCGGCATCGTCATCGAATTTGATATTTATGTTATTCATGAGTGTTTTTTCAAGCCATTTATATTCATTTTTTACTCTTGAGTCATTAACTTACAAATTGCTTTGTAATTTCCCTCGGATGAAAATAAAAAGTTTTCATAAGCTATCGAAACTAATCGATAAATGAACGTAATAAAAGATAAGCGTGAAAAGAAAATATATATACAAACGTAACATAACATAACATAAAACTATTCATTTTAAATTTATTTATTATTTATATTAACAATAATTTAAATATATTATGCTTTATTATTTTTAAAAAAATCTAAAGTATTTATAAATAAATATAAAATTCAATAAATAATTTTAAATAATAAATTTACTTTTAGCTTTCACAAAAACAAATAGATTTGAAATCAAAATTTGATTGCAGTATCAATAGAATTTTATTTTTAAAATTTATTCTTGCACTTATTTAAATTAATTGAAATTTTTTATTTATTCATTTGCTTTTCAAATATTTTATTAATTGTTTACGTTACTTCTTCGGGCTCAAATCAAGATAAATAGATAGATCAACAGCGCTGTCTTATGTTTGGTTGTTGCATTGGCTGAATGCCCAGCGCGGTTGTGTCCCCGCTAAAGCCAATGTCAAGCATTAAGCAAACAATTTAACTTCAATAAGCCAAAAACATGGCACAAGTTGTGGTTAAGCAGCCTGTGACATGTGGTGGGCGGACAGTGGGAGGCGTGGTTGTGTATGTTGCCGCATATTAAAGGCACACGCCAACACACACACACATAATCCCAGCACGCCTACTTCCCCCTTCAGAAGAAACAGTTATATTTCAAGCGCACAACTCGTTGAGCATCAAAGCGACGCGCGGCTAAACGTGCAACGTGTTTGTGCTACAAAACAAGTTGTGACATTTCTGTGCAGGTAATTATGGTGCACGGGGCAGGGGGTGGTGACTGGCAAGTGCTGCGCGCTGCAACGCTCGCAGCGCATTATGCAGAACCTGGCGAGCACTCGCAGAGCCAAAAGGCATTCATAAAGCGCACAAAGTGCACCAAACACATGAAATTAGCGCTTACCAGAGCAGCGCTAAAGGAAGTGTTATTTTAATTAGGCATAAATCAACTATTGAGAGGCTAATTAAATGATGTGATGTCTATAGATGTGAAATCAGATGAATATCTTTTGAAAATGTTTTGCAGAAACAGAAACAACAGAATACATTTCTGAAAACTTTGGTTAAAACTGAATTAAATACTAAAAATGTTATTTTAAAAATATATAAAATCTAAAAACATTTCTGAAAGCTTTGGTTTAGACTGAATTAAATACTAAAAATGTTATTTTAAAAATATAAAGTCTAAAAACATATTTCTGAAAACTGGTTTAGACTGAATTAAATACCAAAAATGTTATTTTAAATATATATAAAATCTAAAAACATATTTCTAGATATTTTAGTTTAGTATTAATCAAAGCGGAATACTAAAGATTACATATGAATTTTTTATAATAAACAAAAACAATTTTAAATAATTTTTAAGCCATTTTACTTAAGAGATTTCTATTTAGACTCATATATATAGATATTTTTATATCATATTGAAAATGGTTAAAGTATTTAATATTACTGTTTTTTATGTATAAAAACTTTTTGATTAAAACTTTTATTTTATATTTGTAAATAGATAAATGTATCGAAAAGATTTGACTGTTGAAATACAATATTATAGTTATCGGTATCTTGTTTTGGTCAATCTCTATAAGAATTTTCTAATCAGTCTGTAGGTCAAATTGGAAAGCGCTTATATATTTCTAAGACATATGCTTAAAGCTTTCGCTGAAAAATAATATTAAGACCGAAATGCTGCACTTATATGTATTTGCTATAAATTATATATTTTCTATAATATATTTGCTATAAAATATATCTTGAGTAAAATAAAAATAAGTTGATGAATGATAACTGATCTTGATACAAAAAAAAATTAATTTTTTTTATTAGTTGAAAATTTTATATAAATATTTTAACAATATATGCCACTTATCTTTGCCATTTCTTATAAGACATTTCATAGTTTCTGTATTTTTATCTATTCATATTATTCATACGACATTTTCTGTATGTTTACAACTCATTTTTCCTTAGCACAGCTGTGTTATTTTGAGTTTTGTATACTTTATGAATAAGTTAATTTTATAAATTATTGTAGTTATTGAACTTTGTTTTATGAATTTCGAGAAGATATGAAAGTGTAGACTTTAAGCTGAAGCAATGCAATTTTTGTCAACTACAACATAACAAAATATTATAAAAGCTAAAAGTGAGAAACCGAGTTTAGCAAACGTATAAAAGTGGCCAAGCCTTAGCTGAAACTATGCTTTTAGCTAATAACATTTTTGTCTTAGCTTTCGCAGTCAAAGCTAGCAAACTCCTAATGCAATTGCATGAATATGCAGCAAATATTTGGCTTTTAACAGAGCGAGCTCGAGCTCTATTAAGTGCATAATTTGCTTGCATGTTTGCCATTGAAAAAGCGTTAAGGCGTTTTTTGCACTCGAAACAGGTGTCGCCAACAAGGTAACAGAAAAACTGAAAAATAATTTGAAAATATATATCCACATATGCACATAGGTATGTGTGTGGCATATTTATGGCAAGCCGCAAGCGTGGCATGCCCCCCGAGGTCTAATTAGCGGCATTAATATTAATTAGAAAACTTGCGTCAAGACGCAAAACTTTTGAAATAGCCGCAAAATGAGCCCAGGAGCTCAATTTGTAAGTGTGTGTGGGAAAGTGTGTGGGTGTGGGTGTGGGTGTGTGGTGGTAAAGTTTGTGTAACTGTTGCAAATAGTATTATTATTATTATTGTTGTTGTTGTTGTCAAGCCAAAAGTTGAAACTTGAAAAATTACTTTTGATTTGCTTTCACAAAACGAAACAATTGAATCGAACTGCGAATCAAATTCGATGTTCATTCATATATAAATATATATATAAATATATATATATAAATATATATATAAATATATATTTTATTATTATAATTTTACATTTCTGTGTGTGACTTACCTTCTGCAATCACCGCGGATAAAGTTTTCGTGGTATTTTTCTTATTGTTTGTTGCATTTCCTGGGGCATTTTTGACGCTTTTCTGTTGCGATGCTTTTGTTAAGAGTTTGAGGGATGTACCGCCTGACGCTGTCGGTGTTGATGTTGTTGTTGCTACTGAAATACGTTTATCTGCAAAGCGAGAGAGAGAGAGATAAGGTGATATATGTTGAGATAAAGCATGGTAAGGCTTAATTACAAAGTGGAAAATAATGAAAAATATAACTGTATAACAGTTAGGTTTAACTGATATGTATAACACATATATAAAATATTTATAACAGATATTTGTCAATTTTAATCAATATAATAATATTTTTGTCATGTAGATTTATATTACTGTGTCAAACAGGTCTGTTATACGCATATGCTATGTTATACATATCTGTTATAACTACTAACAGATTGGCATAGTATGTATGCAAGTATGTATAACCATATGTATAATAGCCCGCTAGAATGTATAACAGATTTATATAAGAGCTACAAATCTGTATAACATTCAAATATTTATAAGATATTTATAACAGATATTTATAACAGTAGTCTAAATCTGATTAATATAGAATCTATATTAATATAGACTCTATAGATGCTATAGCTTAGCGTCAGCTTTTTGGGAAATATTCGCTTGCTACATTTTGGGACCTCCTCAAACCACTTTAAAATGTTCAAAATATTTAAACATTTCGTTCATTTTTCGAATCTATATTTGACACAAATAAAACTCACGATTAGCTTTGTTGCGGGTGTCCGTTTTGGGTTTATACCATCTAAAAATTCGTTTAAGAAATTGGCTAAGCTCCATTCTTTTCAATAGGTACGAAGAGATTAAATTATTAAAAGAAAAATAAAAGAAAAACAAAATAAAAATAAACTAAAAATAATTTTGGAAACCAACAAACAACAAATACTACAATGTTTGCTACGATTAACGAAAATATTGCACAATTTCGATAGAATAAATAAGTACATAAATAATTAAACGAGCTAAATGAAGCAATTGTAAGCAAAATAGAGCTTGGCCAGGGAGCGCAGCAAAACAAATATAAACAAAGCCAAGCACAATATTATATAAACCAGTTTATAGAGTTTTTTAGAACAGTGCCAAGCAAAAAATTAAAACATAAATAATGAAATAAGCACCTGTTTTTAGCAGGTGGAAAAGAGATAGCAGAGGCAGGGGCCGATTACATAGCGCAAGCAGTTAAAAGCAAGTTTGCTGTTGCAGCATGTTGACAAACGAACAAAAAATGACGGAATGACATTCCATGTACAAGCAGTGCAGCTTGTTGCCAGTGCATGCTAAAAACGTAAGACAAGCAACAAATTGCAATCGATAGACGAAAAGCAGTCAGATGTTGCAAGCAACATGTTGTTAAGTAATAGATCTTCAGGCAGTGTAAGTCAAAAAAGCAGTGAGCAAGCAGTATTCACAAAACTCTGAAGCAAGCAGCATGTCCGACCATATATATTTACATAAAAAGCAATCATAAACTAATAGTATAAGTAGAAAATAAATAAATAGTAAAAAGAAAAAGTATATAACAAAAAATGCTTGAGAATGAGAACAGGAACTCTGCGGTCAAGTGAAACATGGGAGCAACAAGTTGCTCGATAGCTAAGAAATTAGCAGCATATGGCAAGCAGTTCAATTATGTACAAGCAGTTGATCAGCTGTAAGCTTAAGCGAACAGCGCATACCTAGTCCACAAAGCTTTTGATTTTTGCACAGCACCTCTAGCAAGCAGTTCATGTTGCTGCAGCATGTAGCCGAGCAACTCTCTAAAGAGAGCACAGCCCAACATAAGTAAATGCATTCACTCTTAGTTCTCTTCACACATACCAGTTTCTCTACACAAATAATTAGCATAATTTACTTTTATGTGTGGCGAGGGAAGCTGCTGCTGCTGACCAGCAACGCGTTTGTCTCTACCTTGTTTACTTACTCTTTTTACTTTACTTTTTTTTCTGCCTTTTTTGCTCAGTATTGTTTTAGTTAATTTGCGAGTGCACGACAAAAAGTTGTCGCGCGCTAGCTCAATGCTAACCGCAGCTTTAGAAGAAGCAGTAACAGCAGCAGTAAAGAGACAAAGCAGAGTCGGAAGCCATAAATGGCTAATACAAGTCTAGGCCGCAATGCACAATACACCCAAGTCGCCAAAAATAGAGGAAACAACATAAACAAAAAGCAAAAACATTACAAAGTAAGGGTGGGCTATAGGCAGAGAGTGCCAGACTGCATAATACCCTGTACCAGAGTTAGAAGTTCTTGTTACGGAAGTCATCATATAGCTCCCGTAAGAATTTCGTACTTAAAAATCTTCGCTGAACCTAACTCTTATAAAATGTATGATATTCAAAATATATATATATATAATGTATAATTTGTATATGTATCATACACATCTCTGAATAGAACTGTGAATTGTAAGGGCTTAATGAACTTCGAAATTTTTATAAACAAGATCAAAACTAATTCCGCTACTAAGTTAATGTAAAAATATACCCTACTGGCCGCTTTCGTTGCGTACAGGGTGTGGAAAAACACAGCGAAGTTGCAATGTTGCGGCCAATGTCATGCACCAAGCGGCGCCTAAAAAGCAGCTGCCAAGGCTAACCACAAGTTAAAGGAGAGACAACACAGCAGAGGGAAAGAGAGAGAGAGGGAGAGACACGCAGAGAGCACAGAGAGAAGAAGATAAGTAAACACTGTGGACAGCCGAAGTGCCACTGAATTATAAAGGTTAAGCAGGATCCTCGTTGCAAATCAGTTTTTTTATACTTTCTGCTGATAAGCAATTAGTCAATGATCAAGTCTAACCGGATCTGTGGCGTTGCAGCCTGTGAACAGCTTTAAAGAGGTGACAAAATGCCGTCACAATTAAGCCAATAAAAGTTAAGCCTCTGCTCAAATCGATAAACATACGTGGGCCCATTCAGCGGCACGTTCAACCTACGCGCATGTCCATTGAATCTTAAGCAGGTTAATTGCAAAATTACGTTCAATTTGCAGACGCGTTTGAAGAGTGCGCAAAATCCCAGCCAAAGAGCGTGTGTGTCCAAAGACCCCACGTCTATAAATAGAAACTGCGTCTTATCTTCCTCTCTGATAATATGCGAGCAACTGTGAATTGGAATGTCTCAGCACCCAAACTGCTTGACCAGCAAAGAGCAAGGAGATGAAAGAAGACACTGCGTTGATGTGCAGAACTTGGACGAAGACTTCCAACAGAGCATCGGTGGTTCAGTGGTAGAATGCTCGCCTGCCACGCGGGCGGCCCGGGTTCGATTCCCGGCCGATGCAAACTATCTTTTTTATTTCATTTTGCTGTGCCTTTTACCTACTTCTAAATGCTAGAAGTAAAAGATGCATATCTTCAGGCTTTAATTGCCATGAATTGCTAAAGAAATAATAACGGCGGCCCATTGCGTGATACTCAAGCTAAACAATAGGCCGAGATTTCAGCATTTTATTGTGCGCTCTCCTATGGGAATTTGCATATGCAAAACACGTTTCTACAATGCCTTTTGCCTATTCGTATTCATGTGCAAATAACTGGAAAAACATGCGCAATAGTGCGAGTAAATTTAATTTAGTCTGCCTCGATTGCGGTGCGCTAGGCTTTGTGGGCAAGCAAAACAAAAAAAAAAAATATATATATATATATATATATATAGTAGAATGTGCCGTTGAGAGCACTCGGCGGCGATTTAATGCGACAATATTTGAGCAATTTGCTTGACCAAAGGCATAGAAACTACAAATGGCTCAAGTAATACAATGAATTTATCCATTAAAAATAATTTATGCAAAGGCAAGAGAGAAATAAGAACCAAAATATAAAGAGAGAGAGAGGGCAGCAAAAAATGAATTTTGCATCGGCCGGGAATCGAACCCGGGCCGCCCGCGTGGCAGGCGAGCATTCTACCACTGAACCACCGATGCTTACATGAAGATTTACACAAAAGCTCAAAGAGTTGACGGCAGAAGAGCAGAAAGAGAGAAGTCGAAAAACTTGATAGTTGTGAAGCCACAAATAGCAAGTTTTCATTTGTGTGTGTGAGTGTATCTGTGAGATTGTCTTCATATCAGCAAATATTATATTTGCTTTAAAAGCAAAAGCACTTTTGATTATTCAATACGAAATGCCAAGTATAGCAGACGAGCCAATGTAATTATGTATTACGCAACGACCAACGATTGTAAATTGAAATATGGAAATATTAATTGATATGTGAAGCAAGCGATTTAAAAGGTTTTCAATTGAATTATGCCACAGGCATATGTTGCACAGTGCGAAATGAATTTGTAACATAAAACATTGTGAACACATGTCCAGAAATATATACAAAATATATTAAGTGTGATTGATATGAGAAGTGGGTATCAATGGGTCTTAAATAACTATACCATATGTAAGATTGTTAAAAACGTATCAAATTACGATATCACATAGCTTAGCTAATTACTAAAGCCAGACGGTCTGTATATAAAATAACATCAGGTGCTGACTATAATAGATAAACAAGTTTATTAGACAAGTCTCGAAATATACTTAATATACATATACATATGAGCTTCCAGATCTCTTAAACTCAGTCTTCCTTCTCTCTATTGCTGGCATAGCTTTTATTGGAAATGTTATTTTATCGATCATTGGTAATCGATTACCTTAAAAATATATATCGTTTTCTAATGAAAGGAGCATATAGTGAACTAATGAAGAGTTTATAAAGTTAATATTAGTCCATATCTAGAAATCATCTTACTTTTGTATTCTAATTTTAATATAATTAAAAAAATTAGAAACATTTTCTCATATTTTTCTTACTTTAAGTTTCAGTTAGGTTTGTTATAAAATGTAGAAATTTTCTTTTTTAATAAATTTTACAAGTTTTTCCCCCGGAACGGGTATTAGGCAGTCGGATTGTGCAACATTCGCTTGTTTTTCTTGTTTTACAAGCAATTGAAAGCTTATGTATAGCAATAATACCTCTATTTATAATCAATCTCTGTAAAATTAGTCCCAAATGTTATTTATGTTATATGAGACACTCCAACTCTATATAACATATGTGTGCCACGAACCAGATGCCCAATCTAATGCGCCCTTGACCAAGTCCAAGTGAAATTGGCAAATCATTTTGGCGATGATATTTAAGTTCACTTTTGGGTCATGCCCCCAATGAGTGCGCACATACTGCGTGCTGCCGTTATTTGGTGGGCGTGGCGAGTGTAGGCTGGCAACCGTTAGTTTTCCCGCTGGGATCATGCGAATCACAATAGCCAAATCTGGACTAACATTTGTTTTTCCTCTTCATTTTTTTTGGGTCCATTGAGATAGAAATCTGTGTGCACAAAACATTCGCAGCAGCCAAACGAATTGGCCAAAAAGCTGACTCACACACAGCCAAACTGTGTGACTCATGCCCAGTGCCCAGCGACATCTGAACGATACAGGAGCTACAGGCACACACACACAGATACAGATACAGATACAGATACATATGCAGCTACAGCTACTGAGCTACTCAGCTCCACAGACCTCCATCAACGTTGAGTTGCGAATGTGTCAATGACAACTGATGCGTTTAGCTTTTTATCTTTTCTTTTTTTTTCAAGTGTATTTTGTTAATTTTTAGGGAGTGGACGCTATATACTATATACACAAGTTGCCGAAGCTGATGTCAGTCATTAAGGTATCTTTTTTCAGTCTTTTTTGAGGGAGACAAATCTGAATAGCTGTCAACAAAAAAATAAAACTGACTACACTTCGAAGAGTCTTAAAGAGTTTTTAAAAATTATTTCATATTTATAAAAAAAAATCTTTTTGCTAAAAAATCTTTTTTATATTTAAGTATGTTGTTTTCAATATGAATTTGACTCTCCAAAAATCAAAATAAAAATTGCACAAAATCATTGATAAGATTAAGAGTTTTTGGTAAGCTAATTCTTGACTTGAACATAAAATATATAGAAAAAAAAAGTTATAAAAACATTACGTTATTTCTATAAGGAAACAAATTCTTTGAATCTATTAACTACAAACTGAATTCAGTTCTAAAAGGTTTAAGGAGTCTTGTAAAATTTTTATGTACACCAAAATTCGTTTAAGAGATATTATAAAGTAAACAGAACTAAGCTCAAACTTGTTTATGTATTCCTAATAATATAAACTACAATATAAAATATTTAAATTTAAATTATTTATATTATTATTATTATTAATATAGTATTTGTATTATGAATTTATATTATAAATATATATATTCAACATTTATATAAATATATATATATATATCAATTGAAATTGATCCCATTAAATATTTTATATTTTCTCATTTTCTTCTACTTACGTATAGTTGTTGGTGTTGGCGTTAAGGATTTATTCCACGACGATTGCCCCTTAGCGGTCTGCTGAGTCTTTGGCGGCGGTCCCAGATCCGTGGGCGATATGCTCAAGTTGCGCACATCCCGCTTTTTGGCAGCTCCTGCAATAGAGACAAAAAATTGATGATGATGCGAAAAGTGAAAAACTGGTGACATTTTCACGCATATTTGCATGTAATCGATAAACGTAATGCTGTCTAAATTATGCGCGAACACGTCGGACTTTGTGCGCTTGACATTAAATAAAGGCAACTTAGTGAGGGAGAGAGAGAGACCGCATCGCACTTTAAAACGTTGCCCCCTCTCCGCTCTTTAGATGTAGAGAGATTGCTCTGCTATTTGCATTTCAATGTTTGTCGATTAAAACAAAGCACTTGCGTATAATTGAAGTATCTTTGCTCTGCCCCAGACCCAGCTCCCGCTCCCGCTCCCTCTTCAACTCTAACTTTTTCCATGGCAGCCAGCATCAACACCAGGAAATGTGTGAGAAAAAAGTGAATGGATAAAAGGGGTGAAATTATAATATATTATGCGAGTGCATGTTGCTAACGCCAGGGGGCGCTTTATTATAGCAAACGTAATGTACACAAAGCATTACGATAGCCAGACAAAATGGGAAGAGATATGTAAACTAGAGATATCATAATATGGCGGGTTCTCAGCGTGAAGTTTTTTTTTTTTTTTTTTTTCGTTTTTATTTCTTTATTTTGTTGCAGCTTATTGTCTTAGACTCTATAGCGCATTTAGCTCTAAACCTTAACTAATGGGAGGGCAGATATGCCAATTATTCTGCACTTGTAGCTACTATCTTAATTAGTTCTAATATTGTCTAGAGGATGCAATCTCTTCAGTCTTCGCCTATTGTTGTTTATAGCCAGGTTGCTTGCGAGATGGTTAGGATGCGCTGCAAGTCTGTCCGCGTATCTTGAACTGTGTCGCCCAATGAGTTCAGCAACTGTGGGAATTGCTAAATCCCTATGTAAGACTGAGTTTCTTACAAACCAGCTGGCTCCAGTCCATCTGCGTAGTGCTTTATTCTGCAGGGTCTGAATTTTGTTCCTTGTAGTCTTCGCCGAGGAGCCCCATAGAGAGATACCATATACGAAGGTTGGGACAACTATTGCCTTGTAGATGGCGGCCTTGCTGCTGTAAGACAACTTGCTTGAAGCTCTCAGCATCCAGTCGAGGGTTTTTAGCTTGCTTTTGCATTTTGAGGTTACTTGACTTATGTGCGCTTTAAAAGTCAGCCTTCTGTCAAGAGTGATACCAAGGTACTTTACTTTTGAGGCTTTGGGAATAGTGGGCCCCAATGCAACGCTTGGGCAATCTCCTCTTCTAGTGGCGAAGGTAGTATGTACAGACTTTTGTGCATTAATGGTGATACACCACCGTTTTGCCCAGCGTCCGAAAGAGTCCAGATATTTTTGTAGTGAGTCTGAAGCTTCTTGCGCAGATACGTGACGTGATAAGATGGCGGTGTCATCTGCATAGGTCGCTATGAGTACTGCATCTGTACTTCCTATATTTGGCTCGGGAGTTGGCATATCTCCTGTGAATAAAGTATAAAGTGTTGGGCCTAGAACACTACCCTGTGGTACTCCAGCCATAATTGGTCTAGTCAAGGATACTGTTTGCCCCCTTGACACTTGGAAGGTTCTTCCAATAAGGTATGAAGCGTGAAGTTGCTTTGATATTTTTTGGGGGAAGTATTTTGAGTTGAAGCAAATCTGAGAGCATTTAAGAGTTGATAGATGATTGACAAGAGTTTTTGGACTAGTTATAACTAAGTGAACTCAGCTGTAAGTGAAGATAACTTCTTGAAATTTGGTATAACTGTTGCTTTAGTGTTATCTAAGGTATATCTGAGACAAACAAGGAAATCATCTTAATATTTCCATAGCAAATCTATTAAGATGTAGTGCTTTGGTTCCTGTTTCTCTTAGATATGCCTGATAAGAGAGCTATAAGGTTACGATAAAAGTACGTATACTACTATAAGCTATCGGAAAGTTCTCATAGATACTTAAACAAAACTTAATATCATATCAGAAATACTCAATTCCTTCTCAATTCCTTCTCAATTTATCTAAACCAAAATCTAAATAAATAGTTTTGTACTAAGAACTTCATTTATAAACAGGCAATATTATTTGTCTCCTATTTATAACTTTCCCTAGAAACAATCAAATGTTTTATTGTCTAAACACTAATAAATATTTAAAATATGCCCGAAATTCTAGCTGAAATTGAATTTTCCACAATGCAGACAAACTTTGAGTCAAATTGAGTTAAAGTTTTTACGCAAATCTCGCACTTGTTATGGCGGCGCATTCAACACAATTTGCTGTGGCAACTTCGTGTTAAACGATGTCTGCATGGTGCAACGCTAGGGAGCCACAGCAACAGCAACAACAATAACAAAAGCGATTTGCACAGCTGCATGAAATCTAATAAATTTTATTTTTAGCTGTCTGCTAATTGCCTAGGAGTCGGACTCGGACTCGGCCTCGGTCTAGAGCTGCTGCTGGGATTTGAATGTGAACCACAGCAGTGCGTTGCACGTGTGGATTGCACCAACTTTTTATCAGTGGTGAAAAAGTGGGCGGCACTCTGCCTGCTTGCCTGACCACCTCACTTAAGCCGCATAATCCCCTTTGCGGCTTATCAAAAAATGTGACCGCGCAGTCAGAATGTTCCAAAAAAGTTTTCAGTTTTGCAAACTATTTTAGTCATTAAATTTGTATGTTATATATATTATATATATATATATATATATATATATATATATAATATATATATATATATATAATATATATATATATATATATATATATATATATATATATATATATATATATATATATATATATATATGTATATATGTATATGTATATATGTGTCTTTTAGCTAACCACAGTGCATTATAAAACTAAGCTTAACTCAGTTGCAGCCACAATGAGCAAATCACTTTATTTCAATTTCTATACAAAGTATGTTGAAAACGGAATAAATAACTAAAATTAAAATTTAAAAAACCATTAGTTATAGTGTTTATATTGTGTTTAAGCTTTTACAAAATGATTACTTTATCGCTACTTGCTGCACACAAAACTTTCCTCTTTGATCGTTGGTAACGTAGCAGTTTGATATTGTGTCTACATATTTGTTCTTTTCTAATAAGCTCTCTTAAGTTTAATCTTCTTTCATTTACTCTTAGAGCACTTATACACATAAGCAAATTTACATTTGCAATATTCAGCTGCGCCCACTACTTGTAACTTATATTCTTTGCCTTTCTCTGTCTGCCCAATAATTGTTAATATTTTATCTCTTCATATAAAAAGTTCAGCTAGATTTGGATTTACTTAAATATATACACATTGATTGAGTGTAACTGACTTCACCCGCTTCAACTCTCTTTGCAAAAGCTGCAACCATACAATTCTCAAATGGTTATAGCTTAGCTAGAGTAGCAAAGCAAAGACTTGGCTTAACTTGACGAAGCAGTCCATAGCAATGTTGTCTGATGATCGGGAGCATTTCTTGAAGTAGTTATACAGAAAAAGTGTTGACAGTCTCATCTCAGACTGATCTCATACAATAATAAATATATCTATATAAAAGCATAAACTATTCATATACGATATTTATAAGTACTTTAAGAGTCCTCTCTAGACTCAAAGACCGTGTGAATTGCTGCACAATTTGCCATTCATAATTTATTACTTCTATTTTTTCTAGTGTTTGGGCAATCAGAGTTTAATTGAATTCAAAATTTCTGCTTGAACACTTGAAGTGATCGTAGCACTTACCTTTTGTCACGCTCTTGGCACGTTTGCCAAAGCTGCCAAATCGTTCGCGTTCGATCATTTGACTGTGAATATAGCGCTCGGAATACGAGCGCGATAATTTCTCCTTTGAGCTGTGAGCGCCCATTTTGTATTGGCGTAATATCGGGATAGATGTATATAACTATGATTAAGGTATATATTGCCTATATATAGATCTGTGGCGGCAACTTTCACACACAAAGAGAGAGGTGCGCCTCACTCGCGCTTTCACAAACTGCGACACCCGCGCCGACGAGGACTTTCATTTGTTGCTGTCATTCACAATAGCTGATTGAAGACATTTTTAGTTTTTGCTGTTGTTTGTCATGTTTTATTGTGTTTTTGTAAGGTTTTTCTTTTGTCAGCGTTAGTTTGAGTTTTTATTAAGCAGTTTGCAGTTTACATTTGACTGCAATCAAAAGTTCACGATTTTTGGACACATTTTCATCTATATATATATATAACTGTTAATTGCTTAATAACCGTTTCAATTAGTCGCCTCATTTAACGGTCAAGAGCGCACTCAAGCACAAAAATGATTTTTCCACACTATACCCTGTAGGCATACAGTGAGGCAATGGGGTATATTTGATATTGTATTTAGCTAAATAACTAAATAATTTAATTTTGGGCATATGTTTGGAATTAGTTTATTGACTGATTAAATTTATAATTTTATCGTAAATATTTAAACATTTATTTTTTAGGGTATAAATTAGTTGAACCTTAAAGCCATCATCAATTTTCATATAAGTTTCATAAATGCTTCAAATAATACAGAACGACCTCAATATATTTAAAAACTCATTTGTATACAGGGTATCTTTAAGTCTTTCAACTCACTCACTCTGCTCCGCTAATTAAAAGATTTTCATGACACATTTTTAATGGCGCATTTAAATGCTCTGGGAAAATTCAATGCATGTTGAGCATGTCCATTAAAATTGTGTGAAAAATCCAAAAGCTTCATAATTCAGCCAAATATTTGACTTTAAAATCCAGAAAAAAGCCAAAACAAAACAAAACAAAACATTTGAAAGGGGAGCCGACGATGGCATCTGCAGGAATTTCGCAACACAAATGTCGTCCGTTTGATAAATTGCTGCAGCAGCTGAAACGACCTCAATTTTCCACTCGTAGACCTAGCTGTCGTCTGGCAGGTGCAGTGGCAGAGCGCACCGCCACATCCATAGCCGCAACCAAAAACTATTGCAACAGGCCCCAAATAAATCTGTCGACGATCTTCCAACGCCTCGAGCTAAAATTTCCTATGCTCCGCGCACTCTGACGACAGCCACTTGAATGTCATCATAACTTATTAGCCGGCTGGAGTAGGAGCAAAATGAGCTGACAAATTGCTCGCCAGCATTTGAAGCCGTGTGCAGCATGCGACGAGCAGCAGCAAAAAAGTACCTGCTCATAATTTCCCCCTCACAGCTGTAACAGCGAACAATAAAAACTGGGAAATTCATGCGCGACAGGCGAAGCGCAACCTCATTGCTATAAATAGTTGTGATGTGCTCTTTATAATCAAGAGGGAGCGACAGGGGTGGTATGAAGTGATTGTGGTAGTAGTGGAAATGAATAGGCATATAATACAGGCTTATGCGATATATATCTATAGAACTATTTGGTAAGTGAAAATCAAATTTTAAATTTGTAAAAAATTACCTTAATTTTAACAGACAAATTTAACCGTACTCAAAGCTGCTTAAGCAGCCCTCGCTCAGATTATATATCAATAGGCATATAATAAAGGTTTTAATAAAGGTTTATGCATTACATATATTAGAGATATATCTATATGCATTTATAACTATAAGTTTGCAAAACTCCACAAACAAATCTAGCCAAACTATATATAGCTTAAGCAACCCTCGCTCGCTTCAGTCAGCGTGGCACAAGCCCTGCAGATGACATTTCGGCCAGCCAAACTATAATTAGCCGTATTTAAGGCAAAGGTGTTCCGAATCGCAGCAGAGACTAAGACAATTGCTATGCGATTGATAGAGCGAGAGAGAGAGTGAGAGAGCTGCACCAGCTGGGCTGAGGGGATGTGGAGATTTCTAGTTGGAAGTAGGTCTAAATTTGTTGGCGTCAGTCAATTGGAAAACTTGAGAGCATAATTCACATGCTTCGAGTCAGATCAAATGCCGGAAGTGTTTCAAACTGAAAGCGGAAGTTGCGGCCCATTCTCAAGGGCATTTTCCTCGCGCCATGCCTGATCGATGGAACGAACCTGCGGCGGCTCCATTTAATTAAATATGCAAAAATTGAATTTGAGTTTTAATTAAAAGTTGCTGGCGCTTCGCTGCGTGGGCGTCTGCACTTTTTCGTCTCGTCGCGACTGCAGACAACCAACAGCAGCAGCAGCAAAAGCAATTAATTGAGCAGGCATGAGGCTGAGATGAAGGTAGATACAGGTGAGCATAAATATGCATAATTCAGGGAGCTCGCCTGTGCTGGCAGGTGGCAAGTTGCAAGTGGCTGTTGAGACCATTGCCACACAAAAGCCAACGACAAGCAGCGCTCTTAATGGGGCGTAACTTTAACAGCAGAACAGAATATAAAAAAAGGTTTGTAAAAGCTAAAGAGAAGAGAACAAATGATAAAGGCTTGAATTAAATCAACATTTCCATAAGAAATAATTTGGTTTTTAATATTCTTTTATATAAATTGAGTTTAGTGTAAATTAACTGAGTAATTGAGAACTGAGATATCAAAAGAAAACGTAAAGATATGAAAAGAGCTGCAAACAGACTCGACTAAAAATCTGTGTGTAAACAAGCTAGAGACAAGCCAAAAATGAGCTAGAAACAAGCTTTAAACAAGCTAGAAAACACGTCAATTTAGATACAAGCTAGATACATGCTAGAGACAAGCTTCAGACAAGCTGAAGCTAAATACTTGAGAATAGATTCTTTTTGACTTGTAAACTATAAATATATATAACAAAATTATAATTTTAATTTTATGTTTAATTAAAATTAAAAAATATTAATTAAAAAATTTTAATTTTAATGAAAATTTAAATTATTTTAATTTTATTTAATTTAATTTAAATTTATTTTTAATTTTAATACCAATTTCAGTTTTTATACTTTTAGATCAGAAAAAAAGACAAAATTTAGCTATTTAGAATTTACCACATAAGCATAATTTGTACACAATTATCACATCTCTTCCTAAATAATTGTTGCATTCATATCACATCCGATCAAATACTACTTAAAAACAAATAAACTGAAATTAATTATAGTTATCTATAATTTCCAGGCATTTCAAGAGTTGTGAAACTATAAAAGTTCCATTTAAACGCACATTATGCAGCCAGATCAAGAGGAGTTTTACGAGTTGTGTGATTTTTGCAGGCTTGTGGCAATTAATTGCGCACATAATCGTAAAATGATCGCCCAGACCCGTGGACGAAATGGACTACAAAAATTGCAAAAAATTTGATTATTCAAATGGACGAATGGGCGCATGAAGTTTCGAGCTTCAACTATTGCAAAGCCATAAAACCAAATGGAGTTGAATGAACTCACTCAACTCAGCTGAACTGAACTGAACTGAACTGAACTAAATGAACCAACTGGTCAATAAAATTAACCATACGCAAGAGTACTTGTTTTTTATATTTTCGTATTTTTCTTTTTTTTTTCATAAATATAAAAAAAATTGTACGTCATTAAAGGCAACTACAATAGGCCAAGAGAGGTGGCTCGAGCAGGGAGTACCGGACATGCACAGAGGGTAAAGCAGAGTTGGGGTATTCAGCCATGTCAAAGAGTCATTAAAACCCAAGCAAATTGCCAGCCATAGCTAATGCAGCTGCCATTATATAGAAATATATACTTATACACATATTTATCACATATATAATATATATATATATATATATATATATATATATATATATATATATATATATATATATATATATATATATATATATATATATATATATACATCGACAATTCTTGTAAATCTGGCTGTATATAGAAAATTTGAATTATTTTTGTTAAAGATTCATTATGTCGGATGTCTGATGTCATTGAAATGTTTATTTCCCACTATTTGCTCCAGTAAATTTCATAAAAACTGCGCAGGGCCAAAAACAAATTTAGATGTTTGACATAGATTTGTTGTGTGTCTTTAATACGCTGTAAACATTGAATGAGCGTCTGGGGCATATGGAGTCGATCGTACATTGTTTTTAGAAAAAGATCTTAAGCAGGCATAAATAATTATTTCTGATTGCAACTGTTTCAAGGTTTAATGTTTCAGTAAAAACATTTTTCTTTTGACATTTTCAGTTTCTTTAATATTTCTTCAGTTAATATATGTGTTAAATTCTAGTTATTTTTCATTAATTAATAGCTTTCTTTAATTTTTTCACTTAATTCATCATTAATTAATATTTCTTTATTTTAGCTAGGTTTCTATTCTCTACTGCCCATACAATTTCTGCACATACTGGGTATTTACTTAGTCACGCATACCCACTCACTCGTGCAGCCTTCGCCGTCTTGCTGCGTCTAGCGTCGAGTAAATTGCAACTGCATACAAAAGGCGCAGCACGCAGGCAAATGCATTCATAATGCAATTTTATTTTTAAATCGTTGGCTGTCATCTTGCTTAGGGGATATTTCTTCTCTCTCTCTCTGTCTGTCTGCCTCTTGCTCTCTCTATTCTTCCATTTGGCTCCTGGCACACTTTTCGAATGGCAAGCAAGTGGCGGCAATTTGTTACAAAAATATCCATTTGCATATTAACATAGATTTAGACTCAAGTAAACTTAGTTTTTCTCTGTTTTTTTGTGTATTTGTCTAGATTGTTGGGCCAAAAAAATGTGTGAATCTTTAAAGCCAACACTTGTCACACAGTTGCAAAATGGTTTCTGGGTAAATGGCATAAGAATCTCAATTTTTGACTAGCCGAACAACAAGTGGGCCGCTAATTTGTCTAATTTGTGTTAAATAAGCCAAGAGAATCGCATTCAAAATACATTTCGTGTTTTGAAAAAGGCGGATAAATAAGGCTATGAGTGGATGATGTAAGAAGTTAAAGCTCTTTCGAATTTCAATGAAACTTTAAGCCAGCTTAAAGGCGGTATAGAGT